AGAGGCAGTAATTTAACTGTAAATTGGCCTTTTTTTTTTCTTCAAAAATATTTTAATTAATATTATTGTCCTTGCTACTAAATTACTGTCTCCAGCAGTTATTTAACTGTCGGAGACAGTAATTTAACTGTTAATTGATTTTTTTAAAAAATATTTTAATTAATATTATTGTATTCGTTGCTAAATTACTGTCTCCAGCAGTTATTTAACTTTTGGAGACAGTAATTTAACTGTTAATTGACTTTTTTTATTCTTAAAAAAAGTATTTTTAATTAATATTACTGTATTCGTTGCTAAATTACTGTCGCCACCAGTTATTTAACTGTCGGAGATAGTAATTTAACTGTTAATTGACTTTTTTTTTTCTTAAAAAAAATATTTTAGTTAATATTACTGCCTTGGCTGCTAAATTACTGTATCGAACACTAATTTAACTGTCTTAGACAATAATATTAATAATATTACTATTCGGGAAAATAATATTCATAATATTACTGTCCCAAACAGTAATATTACTGTCTGAGACAGTAATTTAGTAGTCAAGAGAGTAATATTAATTAAAATATTTTTTTTCTAAGAAAAAAAAAATTCAAAAAAAAAAAAAAAAAAAAAAAAAGTAAACGCCGGAGACCGGCGGTCAACGGTGATTGACCGGCCGGAAAAAAATTTCATGAAAAAAAACAGTTTTCAAAAAAAAAAAAAAAATCAACACCGGACTCTGGCCGGAAAAAAAAAAACATTTCAGAAAAAAATTTATTTTCTGAAAAAAAAAACATTTGGGGGTTAATGTGATATATTTGTTTAAATCCGAGGTCAATATGTAATGTTAAGGAAGTTAGAGCATAATGTGTGGATAAGTTTAATTGAGTGACTGTTTTTTTTTGTGGACCAAAATGTATTTAAGCCCCATGTGATGGGCCTTTTTTCCATTCGCCCTAAAAATTAAAGTTCTAAATTCGGATGTATTTTCAGATAATAATGGAATTAAAAAATTCTATTCGGATTTCCACTCATACTCTATCCCAAAAGTAAATGGCGACAATGGTGCAATAATTATCACAAATCTATTTCGTGTGGTTTGTGAATGAATCCACGTCATATTACCAAAAAAAAAAAAAAAAAAAAAAAGAAAATTCTATGTTTACGTGTTTACAAACGTTTTAACAGCTATTTCTTGTCATTTTTCCCCCCAAAAGTCCAATTAATTGCAATACACTTTTTCTCTCGGCACACAAAGTTTTAACAATGTTACCTAATGATCAACAACACTCTATGAATTACATTATTATTTGTATTTTATCTAAATAAGTTTATCGGTTCAACTCTTTTTTTTTTAATTGATTTTGGGGCTACACATAAAACTGTGTTAAAGAAAATCTGCACCAAATTTTCAAGTGTCGCAATATGGGAGATTGGATGAACATTTCCCTTAACATAAAACGATTTCGTATATGTTGTGTACCCATCGTTTTATGTTTCTTATATGTGACCGATCTAACACGTTTAATATTAATATTTTTGGGTTTTCACTGATCGAACTCATTTTTTACAAATAACTAACTGACAGTCGTCGATGTTTGAAAATTGATACTGAACTTCTGAAAATTGCCAATGAAATTCCGTAAATTTGTTGAAAACTCATAGCAAATTTATGAGAATTGATCAAAATTTGAAATAAATAGACAATGAACTTTGACATTAAAACTTATAGCCTAAAATGCATCACACACAATTTCTGAAGTGAACAAACAAAGAAATTTTATCCAAAAAAAAAAAAACATTTTATTATAATGATGAATGATAGAATTATATTTGAATGACTTGTAGCTAATAATTGCATGTTATTTTTTGTTGTAATAATTATGACAACTGATGCGATCTCTTGTGTATCATAAGATTTCTTTACTGAACGTAAGAAAACTCTTGTTTATTATTTCTCTTCATTATCAAAACCCTAGCACAATACGACTATTTAAAGAGAATAAAACCCTAGAATCCTAATCGAACTAGAAAAGATAACTACCTATACTAATAAAATACTTAATAATCCTCCTATCACTAAACACACGGCTATATCTATATCCTAAATATACTATTCTAATTAATTAATAATTAAATATTAACTAAACCAATAATTAAATAATAAACTAAATAATATATCGTATCAAACCACCCCTCTTGAAATGAACCTTGTCCTCAAGGTTCGAGTCAATTTGGTTCCTCTCCTTTGCGTTTCCACCTATGTTTGACTTCATCGAATTGCTTCCCGATTGATTCCGAAAAGCATGATGAAAAATCGAGCTCTTTTCCAAATATGAGTCCATCTGCCCGAACGAAATTTCTCAATATCTTACCCGATAAATCAACCTTCGTCTCAATTGTCTTTTCAAGTTTCGTCTTCCTTAGATTTACCGTAACTTTTTCTTTGACCGTCTTTATAGAATCTGGCTCACTCACAATCACAAGCACTTCTTCGTTTCATTTCTCCGGGAAGTCGTGGCATCCTTCCACTATATTTTTTAATTCTTTGTCCTCCTCGCTACTTAACTTCTCGTGCCCGTTCCAAATTATCTCACTTAAGACGAGTGATTCTTCAATCTCCTCATTGGTTAATTTCTCGTCTTCATCCCAAATTACTTCAACTGAATCCGATAATTCTTCTTTCGGCGAACTCACCAAAAATTGGGGTTCTTCGAAAAAATCATCGTCGTCTTCTTCCTCTCCCTCCGGCGATAGGCTCGGCAACGGCGGCAGTGATGGCGGCGGTGGCGTTGGCGGTGATGGGTGGCGATGATGGCGTTGACGTCGTCCTTGACTTTGTTCGAGCAATTTCTGAAAATTAATCCGCAATTTCTCCACGGATTTCTCCAATCGCTCCAACCGTCTTGTTTCTGACATCATGATTTTCACAAAGTTTTGATGTGATCTCAACTTTGCTCCAGCTTAGCTTTGATATAATCGCTGCCTTGCTAACGAAGCGTTGGTGTTAATCGCAACTTCGCTCTGATACCAATTGATGCGATCTCTTGTGTATCATAAGATTTCTTTACTGAACGTAAGAAAACTCTTGTTTATTATTTCTCTTCATTATCAAAACCCTAGCACAATACGACTATTTAAAGAGAATAAAACCCTAGAATCCTAATCGAACTAGAAAAGATAACTACCTATACTAATAAAATACTTAATAATCCTCCTATCACTAAACACACGGCTATATCTATATCCTAAATATACTATTCTAATTAATTAATAATTAAATATTAACTAAACCAATAATTAAATAATAAACTAAATAATATATCGTATCAACAACCTTCAACCTATAACAATATAATTATTACAGTACAGCACAACCATCATAATCAATCATACATCTCAAGATGTGAATCAATCCACGTTATTGACTAAACCATCAAAATCGTTTTTTTTTTCTTTTTCTTTTTTAATTTTTTTTTTTTTTTTTTTTGTTTCTTTCCATTTTTTTCATTGCGAAACTTTAATTAAAGTTAACCAAATGAATGCTACATATATACTAGAACTTTGAATTGAGTCAATACTTGATAAATTAACTATGGAAAATATTTTGGAACACGTAATTTTATACAATGCCACCAATTGATAAATAAATAAATTTGTTAACTAAATAAGTTAACCAAATGAATGCTACATATATAATATGTTTTCTCATTGTGGGCTCAGACAAATTAATTTAAATAAATAAATTCAAATGTTTAGTAAAATTAATATTGATATGTTTATTAACATGTAATACAAATTTGTACAAATGACCCTAACTCATAAGAGTATTTTGCTAATTATTGAGAATATGAATTTCTTAACTACTTTATACTATGCAAGTTATATAATATCACTGTATTGCGATGTGATAAATGTCGTTTCAGTTTTAATAGTATATTTTTGACTTCAAACGTGATTTTAACTCTTTTCTAGTCTAAATTTGGTAAAGTTGTAAACATGACATATGTAGTTCTTTGAGTTAGCTTTCTAATTCAATTTTAATTATTAAGATTGTATGTCAGATGAGAAAGATATGCATGAACGAATCAATGAACAAGCATGAATCAATGGCCACTGCCCACAACTTTAATGTTTTTAGTTATCTAAAATTCAAAATGGACTTATTTTGACATTCAATCTAGCTGACTCAAATTGGATTAGAAAGTTAACTCAAAGGACTAGAGTTTTCATGATTTTAATTTCACCATAATTAGACTAGAAAAGGGTCAAAATTGGGTTCAATGTCAAAGCAGGGTTATTAAAAAATGAAATGATATTTTACATTTCAGTTATATTTAAGACATAATTTTGATTAAATATATCATTGCCATATTGTTTGATGAAAGTGCAAAAAAAAAAACGATTTAAAACCTAATCCAAATAAAAACTCTAAATTCCAATTAAAACTTAAACAAATTAGAAAAATGAAAACAAATTTACCATAAATGGTGAAAAATACATAAAACCTAACCATAATAGAAATTCAAGTTCTATGAACATCTTAATTTGCGGAATTGAAATTCGACTCGATCCGCTTCAGTTATAAGGATGAAAAGGTAGATATCAAAGGATTTTTCGCAAATGAAAATTTGAGCGGGTGACTGAAAAACGCTTATCGTTTTTGCTAATTCTTGCTCATACCTGGGGTTTATTTGATGCTACACGGTGAAATACACCGAATGATTATTAACCATTGGTTTACACATAATTGTACACACCTATGTGTATGTATGCTCAGTGGATGATTATATAAATATATCAATGGATAAAAGTTACCCGATGTATATGACTCAATGCAGCATCTCAAAGACACACACCTAGAGACTTTTAGGTAATTAATTTCCCTGGAAAGTTTAACGGACGAAATTAGAATATATGTACACAGAATATACAACACACACCTAATACGCGTTTAATACATACACTCGCGTCTCATCAGTCATCGTTGTATATATATTAGTAGTACTAGAGCTAATAGTACAAAATATTACATATAGTAACTCGAAAATAAAAACAAATTAAAATAAGACGATGATGAAGAAGAAGAGCAAGATGAAATATGTTGACATGGAGGAACAAGTGCCGCTCGAGCCGATGAGCCCGAGCGCGCAGTACTTGAAAAGCTCGGCGTTATCGCTCACGATTCTCGCAGTTCTTGAATTGCAGCACCCCATGGAAGATTCCATAGCTATTAAACTCGTGAAAGAAGTTTTCTTGCCTATCAATCCACGTTTTTCTTCTATCATGGTGATAATTAACTATTTATTTCACGTACGTACTTTTGTTTATTGATAAACTGAACATATTTCGTCTCTCTCTGCGGAATTTTAACAAACAGGTGGCGGGCGGAAACGGGGAGAAGAAATGGAAGAGAGTTGAGGTGAATGTTGACGACCACATCCACGTGCCTGTTTTTCCGGCGACGGAGACGGGATACCACGACGAGTTTTTCGGGGAGTATTTCTCCCGGATGGCGGCGGAGGAGCTCCCGCCGGACCGGCCGCTGTGGGAAATACACATGGTGAAGCACCGCACGAGGACCGCGGCGGAGAGTGTGGTGTTCAAGCTGCACCACTCTCTGGGCGACGGCTACTCTTTGATGGGTGCGCTTTTGTCTTGTCTGCAGAGGCTCGACGACCCTTCGATTCCGCTCACGTTTCCCGCCGGAAAATTCTGCGTCGGCGGCGGCGGCGGCGGCGGTGGTGGTGGTGGTGGTGGTTGTTCGGTTTTGCGACGTGTTCGTGGGTTTTTTAAGGGGATGGTTAACACGGCTAGTGATTTTGGGTGGAGTGTTTTGAAGAGCAGTTTGATTGAAGATGATGAATCTCCGATCAGGTCCGGCGAGGATGGGGTGGAGTTCCGGCCGATCGTCACCTCTACCACCACCTTCTCCATTGATCAGATCAAGGAAATTAAAACTAAGCTTAATGTGGTAAATGTTTATTTCTCTCTCTCTCTCTCTCTCCTCTCTCTCTCTCTCACACACACCACACACACACATTAAAGTGCAATAGTATTTAGTAATTTTATATAGCATTTAATAAAATAGTTTAAATACAAAGATAATTATATATCCCTTAGAATATTTCTTTTAACTAACAAACAATTTTCACATATCATAATTCATAATAGAGTTAATCATCTATAAACTAATAGAGTCAGGACTAGCAATTTTGTTTTTTTCATTGAACGAAATATTAAATTATCGATCTAATAATTTAGTAAGTTTTTATCGAGTCGAGACCAAAAAAAAAATATTATTTAAGCGAGATTATCAATTTATCGAGTAGTAATTTATCCAGGTTCTTCTGTATTTATTTTCTAAATTAAAATTGATAGAATTGTTCTTAAATTAGGCCGGCACAAGAAACGTGAATCAAATTTATTCATTTTATTGATTCAATATATAGGATATTCTAGAAAAGCTTCAATCAAGACGATTTATTTGATAAATGCACATCTTTAGTTAATGGATAGAGATTGGTTTTTGGGTGTGTATATAATGTTATATATATATACTGAAATTTAATCTTATATTAGCTAATTTTATCTTGACAATTAAACGAGGTCTTCAAATCTGAATTCTAATATATGTACTTGTCTCATTTACTAATGAATATGATAGTAGCAGGTGTTGGGCATGTATCTATCGGGGCGGGTTAAAACTGTCACTCGAATTAAATGCATGTTTTGTGTCATGAAATAGAATATGGCTAAATATATTTTGAAAAATGTGTTTTTACCTTTTTATGCATGTCAACTATATAAAGTAAGATGTTACTAATTTATTACATTTAGAGATGAATACTAAAAGTATCTGAATTTAAGATTTGCAGTTGAAAAGTTGATTTTATCTTGAATTACCCAATATGATTTAAAAATTAGAAAAGTCAATCTTATCTTTATATATATATACAATAAATGCACTTTGCTTCATTAAGGTGTTCAATTTATATTTCACACCTAACTCCTGCATGGTTTTTTTAATTTCCTCTTTTCCCCACGTTTTCTTTTTCTCTTTAATTCCCATCTCCTTTTTTTTCCTTTTCTTTCAAACTTTATTTCAAAACACATAATTAAAAATAGAATGTCTAAATGTTTATTTATTTATTTATGAGAATTAAATATTAATTAGGTGAGATAAATTGAGTTGATTTCAGTACCCCTCCTTGTCAAAATAGGCCATATTTTCTTCTCATATTGAAAGTATCACTTTAGAAGTACTAGCTACTTTCAAAATCAAGATAATATTAATTATTTGATTTTATTTTACCAATTTTACCCTCTCTTATTAATTTAATTTGTACCACTAATTTACATTTCTTCAAGGTATGTAAGGGGCAATTTAGGGTTTTCTTCCATTAAAAATAAGACTACTTGTAATATTTCTGAATACGTGCGCATTTACCTTAAACACTTATTTTGAAACCTATGGAGTAGCTTTGTTCGTATGTTGATCTCGAAGAACGTTATAACAATATATTTCTTTTCACCGTCAATAAACAAAAATATATACTAATTAATTTATATCATATATATATATATATATATATATATTTATTTTTTGCAGACAATAAATGATGTGGTTACGGGTATAATTATGTTGGGCACACGTTTATACATGCAAAAAGCAAGCCAAATTTCAAGTGAAGCAAAATCAACAGCCCTAGTTTTGCTAAACACTAGGGCAGCCGCCAGGGGAGCCGGTTATAAATCAGTGAGTGAGATGGTTGAACCGGGTTCAAAGATGCCATGGGGAAACCGGTTCGCCTTCTTGCATGTGCCTATACCTAAATTGAGTGACGTGGAGCTACAGGATCCGCTCATTTTTGTTAAGAAAGTCCATCGGACGATCAAGAAACGAAGAAACTCAGCTGGCATTTACTTGACCGGTCAACTCCTTGATCTTATAAGAAAAATCAAAGGTCCCGAGGTATGATTAATTAATGCATATATTTAAATCTCTGCAATTGTCTTTATATTTGATATATTTTAGACGAAATTAAAAATTGTGGTCCTTATATATTTCTTTTCATGATAAAAGTAAAATAAAAAACTAAATTAAATTAATTTTCCTCTTTTTGAATAGACACTCCCATCAATTATGCAACAATGGTTAAAATAGAATTATTTTTTTTTAAATATTTTATTTTATTAAAATCGGAAAAAAGTTCACTTAACGAGGGTTAATGATTACTCCCTCCGTCCCAATTTAAATGTCGCTTTTTGTTATTTTACACATATTAAGAAAATCAATAAATGCGCATAGAGTATAGTAAAAAAATAGATAAAATTACTAAAATATCCTCCGACATTAATTGATTATCAACTAATTAATTAGGAGTGATTAACGGTAAAATTGAAAATAATGCAATTAATGCTTCATTGAAAATCTAAAATGACAAATAATTTGGGACAAAAAAACTCTCTAAAAGACATATATATGGACAGAGGGATAATACAGACCTCTAGATATTT